ATTCCTTTTGATAATGGCATGGGAACGGGCAGTGAGCTGCTCAAATAATCAGTTAGTCGACTCTGCAAGCTTATTGCTATGAACAGGAGGCCAAAATGTAAATTGCACTGAATTTTTTGTCTTCCCAGCTAACATAAGGTTTATTGCGAATTTAAGGAGCCAAAGCTATGTGTATCCTTCCGAGGGAAAGACAGGCAAGCCCTACCTTGTTTTCTGTTTGTGCAGAAAAACTGTTTGCATCATCCAACAAGCCCAATGTATCTGTGTCACCATCAACTGCAGAAATGAATTTAGCAAATTCTGACTAGGCCTCTGACAGCTATGGCATATGGGTTCCAGTGGTTCATGGTGATTGCTGCTTCCATCAGTGATGCTAGTCCACTCCACCATGGCTGCCAAGTGGCCCTCGGAGAGGCTTAAGTTGCAATTTCAACTTATGTCGTCTCTCCTCCATTCAAACTTGATCTTCTCAGTAAAGCTTGAAGAAAGCCTCAAACCGCCGCAATAAGTTTTTCTTGTTACTTATTACCTTATGCTCTTATAACGTTATGATAAGGTGCAGATAATCCTTCGACCTCCTAGAAAGTACCCAAATACCATTTTTTTTTTCTTGATAAGTTCTTGGCACTTTTGTCAATAAATTAGCTTAGACTTTTAGATGATCCTCTTACTGGCTGGAAAAGTCCTGTTCTTACCGGCTTATAATGTTGCTACGGACTAATCTTGATGGTACTTAATTGCATCTCCTCAAACCATGGGCAACTCTACTATTTGTGTCTTTACATGTTGCTTCCATGATTTAAGTTGGAAGCATGTTTATCAGGAGGAAAGATAGCAATCTGATGTTAAAAAAAAATTATGAAAGATTCAAATCTGACATTAAGTCTTGTTCTCAGATTTTTTATGTTACTCTAACAATTTGGAACCTGTTGTAGAAGTGTTCCTTAAAAGTTTACTTTTTGCCAGAAAGTTTATTAAGTTGGAGGAGATTCACAAATGCACACACATACACGTCTTTGCATACTTGTAAACCTTAGGGTTGCTGTCTTAATATTGTTTTCTTAGTTTAATATCTTTTTCTTGTAACATTATGTATTGAAAGAAGCTGTTCAATTCTTTTGGAAATTTGAACTTGGTCTTACAATTAGTATCTACTCTGTCTATGTCTATTTCTCAAATGGTTAAAAGTTACCATTCTGATAAGACAAGTTTTAGTACTATAACCTTTCTATAGTTTATTTCTCTCATCCTTGTGCAGTGAAGTTGCAGTTATGCCTGACTATGTTTCTCGGATGAACTCTTACGTTTATATTTTACCTGTGTGGTCTAGCCAAACTGATATATATTTTTCTTTTCCAAATTGGATTTTATTTCTAAGTTCTCTTTTTCTTTCTTTAGTTATATTCAGCTAAAAGGTATATTCTACTAATGATAGATCTCTTTATGATTTTTTTCCGTAGCATGATGAGTCATTATTTGAGGATTGACAGTGATTAAGTAGCTTGGTCTAGTGCAACAAATCTCCATTGTTGTCATTTTGTCCATGAAGCACAGGGCCCAAGTAATGCTATCTAACTGAGAATGAAATTCCATTAATCAAATGATGATAAATGTTTTTGGCTATCAGCTGCAGTAGATTTATCAATTATGCGCTTGCCTGCAAATACATGTACATTGTTCATGCAGTAGTAATTGACACCTCCATGGAAGTAGTTATAAAGTAGTCCTTGACTTTGTTAACGCTCAGAGAATGTGTTGAGAAACTACAGCTTCTAAAGTCACCAGATGAACGCCGACGTAGACTAGAGGAAATTCCAGAAATACATGCTGACCCCAACATGGATCCCAATTATGAGTCTGAAGAAGAAGATGAAGCAGATGATAAGAAACAAGGTTACCTTCGTATTCTTATGATTCTTGTGAAATTTCATGCATTTTCGGATTTTTTTTTCCCTTTTTTTTGTAAATGTTGTTTGTCATATCTGCTGACATCTAAAAGTTGCATCATTCTTGGTGCATGCAGATAGCTTCATGCGGCCA